CCCCAAAACCCCAAAACCCCTTGAGTTAAAATGATTGATTAAGGACAGAATTACTTAAAAAGTGTTTTTTAAATAAATCAGTAAATGCTATTAAATTTTTGTTATATAATATGGGTTATTATGATGTATCATTAAGCTGATATGTGTGAAATATCACATCCAGCCATTTTAATTCCTTTGTTATGATAATAATGTTTGCTTTCTAGAACTATCCTCATCGTCAGATGATAAGTCCTAATCGTATTAAATATTCTATTTGCTCTAGCTCATGATATTTTACAAATGATTGTCGAGATAATTTTCTCTAGGAGATAATCCTTCAGTAGGTTCTCTGAAACTAAGAACTAGCTCTTGATTATCTTCACCATTAGGGCATTCCTCATCAAATTTTATCAAATTATCTCTCAATATTTTCCTTCCTTAATAATCTTAGTTACTACTCAATGGATTCTTAATGTTTTCATCATGATATTTAGTACTATTATTCTTATCCTGACTAGCATTTTCTTTTTATTACTTCTAGTTTGATGGCCTTAAATTTAGATTGAATAGATCATTATCTGGCTCGCCAGTATACTAGTACTTAGCTCCTCTGAAGTCATGCTATGTATCCAGCTTTTTTTATTCCTCTTCAATCTATTCCAAATACCCATCGTCTTCTAATTCAAATTCCTCTAAATTGACCTCTAGTAAATCTTTGTCTAGATGCCAATCATTTGATCTAAAAGTAAACTTATTATTAAGCTTCTTCTTTTAACTTTCAAGCATGGTTTTTGACTTTAGGGTTTTATTTTCTAAAGCATTATCTAGTTTTTAAGATTAATTTGAGGTCTCAACATAGCTATTATTCGTTAATGGTCTTATTTTCTAGGTCTTCTCTTGCTTCATATCGATGCTTTAAATTTCTGGTGGAATTAAAAAGCTGCTGGAAGACAAAAACACTTTCATTTCATGATTGGACTTATTTAACATTCTTTGAGTTGATTAAAACCCACTATCATTTAAATTTATTAATTATTCTTGCTGTGAGAAAGATAAATTTTATAATCTCTGAGATCTTTTGTCTTTTTTCCATGATTATTTGAATTCCTTGCTGAATTCCTCCTCTCCTAGTGACTCGTTCTTTCGGGATCGATTTATTAAAGACTTGAATGAACTGAAAAATTGTTAAGATTGATTTAAGAAACTTTTCCTTTGTTTCTCAGATTTATTCTGTTTAAGTTTTTCATCTATTTCTCTGAGTATTTATTACTGTTAATCCATTTATTTAGCTTGAAGCTATTTTATTTTGAGGTATACCTCAGATTGAGATTGTGAGACATCAGATATTACCCAGTCCTTAACATACCCATTTATACTTATAATATCGGTACTTTAAGTGCTCTATGAAGCAGCTTCAGCAAATGACTTGCTTTTAAATCTATAGTTAGATGTTGTTGAATTGTTTTTTAATATTTCATTTTTGTCATTAGACACCATTTCCTAATGTTGTTATCTATTATTTTCTAGATCAGAGTACAAAATAGGATTTATGTTCTCTAATGACTTTTGATGGACGATAGATTCTTAGTTCAAATAATTATTATACTTTAATTGATGGGAAAGCTACTAGCTTTTTAGACTTTGATTTGATTTTTTATTTCTAATTCTATGATACTATGATTCTTCATATATATGTTTGTTGTTTGCTCCAAAAGCAAGAGTAGGATCACTTTATATTTATTACAAATAGTTTTGATTAGTTGAATTCTATATCAAGCTATTTTCTATCTCAGCAGAATTTTATTGATGATAACTTTCTTTTTAATTTTCATAATCTATATTCTACTTTAAATCCATACTGATCTAATATTCATCATTATCATCTGTGTGCAAATTATTTGATAATCTTATTAAGTCCGATTCCATTGCTTAAAAAGCTTTATGTGGCAATCTTTGATTATTAATTGGTGCTATCACCATGCTTCTTGAGTGCATGCTTTACATAGATACTCTTCGATTAACTCTATTGAATAAGTTTGAGCTTTCCCTCTCTTAATTAATTAAATTCTCGTCGTTCATTCCTATGTATAAAATCTAATTTGAAATAATATATCAAATTTAATGCACTATTTAATTAACAATTGATAAATTTTGTTAAAATAATAATCAGAAGAAAAATAAGGGGTGATCCGGGAATTGAACCCGGGACCTCTCGCACCCTAAGCGAGAATCATACCACTAGACCAAACACCCATGTTAGAGGTCTAACTGCTTTTCTCGACTTTATATCCTTCTAATTGTTATCAGACAGAGCGATTATGATCTGAGATCCTAACTGCATTGCGTTTAAATGGTCAAATTTGAATATAATAATGTCTGATAGTTTAATTTATTCCAAAGGTTATTTTCATTTATCTATAGTTAGTTTAATTTTATATCTCTGATTTTTTTAATTAAAAATGGAAGAAAGTTTAACTATTAATCAACCACAACGACTTGATAGTTTCCCCAATGCTCAACCATAGGCATCATTCAGACAAATCACTCATAGAACCAACTAGTCATAATCTATCAGCAGAAAAAATTAGATTAAAAGTGTCTACCAAAATAAAAGTAAAAAGGGCAGAAATCTTACTAACAACTTTACAATTAATGCTAACTTTTTGCCTTAAAGTATAAAATACGGGAAGAGAGCTTTCAAAAGTAATACCTAGGGCTAAAATTCAAATACCACTCTCAACTCTCCTGGAAATGCCTTAAGGGCTGCTGAAACCTCAGGAGTGCTGTCAACTGTTGACCAGTCTGACTACATAAACTAAACTCACTCAGGCAACTTGGTGTTCAGATATCAATCTTAGTAAGATCATTTGGCTTAAGATAATAACAGAGGACTTTTGAAAACAGCATCAGGATTAAAGAGATAGAAAATTAAAACTATAGATAGAAATTCAAGCACACGTATAGAGAACACAAACTCTCAAAATGACAAAACGCTGGCCAGCACAGGTGGTTTTACGATAATTTAGGACCAATAGATGGAAAGCAAGTTGAGAGGATCAGACAGACAACTAGAGATTAGAAAGGGATCGATTTAATCGAAGCAAACAAAGAAGAATAGATTGTTTAAAATAAGAAACAACCTGAGTATGGTAGAAAACAAAGAACGAACTAATTAATGCAAAACTATCGATGAAATGCCAAACAGTTAAAGATACTCAGCTCTTCGTTTGATGTCAATGGAGCCATATACAGGCCCTGGTGATTATAACATACCTTAAGTAATAGGAAGCGATCAAATTTGCATCTCTCATATAAAAACTCCTCCCGGGTATTCATTTAGTAAGTAGCCGAGAATCAGCCTTTAGACTGAGAAAAACCCGACAATTCTATTAAATAAATAGCTAAGCGATCAAATGCCAGTATAAATGATGATGAATTAATCTTTTACGAATGCTAATTTGAGAAAGCTGTCGCCTGGAGTCGGTGATTACTATATTGAAAAATTCGATGAAAAGTCTAAGTAACCTCGATGTGTAATTGGAAAAGCTCATAGATTTGAGTATGATACTTAGAGGTTCTAAGAAGAATAAAGAATACCTGGAGCTTATCAATCTAATTTAGAGAACATTCTAAGCAATAAAGGTGGAGTAATTGGGAATTAATAAAGGTTTAGGTAGAATAAAAAAATAATTCCTGGTCCTGGAGATTATGATATTGCTAGATTTCATTCCTTGAGCAAAGCGGATGTTTCTATTCTAGCCATTTCCGAGGAAAGAAATCCAGATGGCTCAACAGTATTCTCACCTAAATTTAACAGATCAACTTTATCTCCATTTTGCATGTCATAAAATACACTCAACAAAACTTCTAGAAGGCATTAAGAGCTGCTTTATCATAAAGAATACGAAAAAGCTTATCTTAACCAAGTTGGTCCTGGCCCTGGCTATTATGAATATGAAAAGCTCCAAACTAGCATGGAGCCGGAGAAGCATAAGTACTCCATTCCTAAGGTATTGCTTTTTCTTTCTTTATATTCTTGTATAGACAAGCAGACGAATTCAGCTGCATGAATTTTCCAAAGACAAAAAAGTTCCAATATAGTATAGTGACATCAGGAAGCAAATAAGTCTGCTAATGAGCTAAAATAACAGAGAGGGAGTGTCTATACCTACATTCAATAGAAAATTTGACCCAAAAAAGAGTAAGCATAAGTCTGTTATTAATAATTAATAAAGTGACCCCATTACACGAGAGCATGTGGCGCAAAGGTATTGTAATTTGAGACTGCAGTTTATTTTATTTTCAAGGATAGATAGGGAAATGATATCGGAAATGTATTAGATAGAATCTTAAATCACTTAAAATTGTTATACTTATAATATGTATTTAATTTAAGATTAATTACCTCTTAAATATTCTAGAAAATGGCATCTGGGGTTTTGGGGTTTTGGGGTTTTGGGGTTTTGGGG